GCCTTAGCCGGTTGAGCTATAGGCGCCGAGCCGAAACACATACTTCTTAGTAAAGTATCACAAGAATGGGAAAGCAGATATCCAGTGTACTCATTACCGATATGAAGCCAGTAGATGATTTAATACATGCCCACATAAGGGAATAACTCATTTAAATTCAAGTTGGAGGAAAGGGGAGGACAGGAGGGGATTGGTGTGCTGCCACACATAATGGGCACAGTGTAAGGGTATCGGCACACAGTTTGGGTGCGGGACACAATGACAAAAGGGGCTCTACCTAACAAATGCAAATATTGTAACCTAGTTGTTTGTACCCTCACATTAACCTGAGATTAAAAAAAAAACTAACAACACTAAGAGAGAAAAAATAGATTACCTACAGAGGAAGGCCAATTACATGATTAGAAAATTTCCTAACAGAAAGAAACTGAAGTCAAAAAACAGAGACCGTATCTGTACTGAGGGAAAAATAACTCTCAGCTCAAATACCATGTTTCAATAAAAGGATATAAAATATCTCCAAGATAAAGATCTATATATAAAATAAATCTAATATCTATTAAATAAGTCCAAGATAGGTGTAAAATAAAAACTTTTTGAGACATCAAAAAACATACATTTTAAATTTCATCTGGTTTCTCTGTATTTAATTAAATATATATTGAGTGCTTTGTGTATGTATGTCAGACATAATGCTAGCCATCAGATTTTATTAAATAAGAAATATTTTAAATTATTGAAATACTTTTTGCTGTGACATGATGATAACTCTTTGCTTTAAGGAATTAAGGATGCTTTGTTTTAAAAATACTTTTATATATTTTATAATATGTTTATATATGTGTATATATTTAAATACATTTCCATTCATATATGCATACGAGAAGTATTTTAGCAATATATACTTACCAAGAAGCATCCTAGGATTTTGGTATTATATACAGCCTTTCATATGTCCAGTTACACGAGTATAGATGTTTTTTGTTTTAATTGTTAAATTTGGATCCTGTCTAGAATTGACACGTGCTTAAAATGAAAACACCTACAGGTGCCATGCTTGTAGAATACTCAGAGTAAAAATAAGAAAACAGAAGATTTCTAGAGAAAGGGAGAAATGTCAAAATGTAATGCCAGTAATTGGTGACATTTTGCCTTATGCTTTCTAGAAGCTCTTGGAAAAAAGTGAAGTGTGTTATATAGTCTTATATAGGGGGAAAAAAGACTATCAGTTCCTTAGAAGTTTTTCATAGCACTATATTCTAGAAAGCAGGTGCCAAGTTGATTTTTATTTGCATGGGAAAAGTGGGTTGCCCTTTCCGATGCTGACCTTCATAGGAAACCAAAAGCGTAGACAGAAACTATTTCTGTGGGGAAAATCAAGCAAATGAAGCTAGCATCTTTGAGAACTTAGAAAAATAGAAAGCTCAAACAATTTTGGGTTAGGTTTCTTAATTTCCTTTGGAAATTTCCTGTCATAGTATTAGTCTGAATAATATATAGTTTTTAAGCAATAGAGAACAAAACAAAAGGCCAGATTTTTATTTTTACCTCCTCACTCTTCTCCAGGATTGAAATGTCAAAGGATGCACTTCCTGAAAAGGCTTGTCAGTTGGACAGCCGCTATTGGAGAATAACAAATGCTAAAGGTGATGTAGAAGAAGTTCAAGGACCTGGAGTAGTTGGTATGTAACCCAAGATTTAGGTTCATATACTAATTATTTAGGAGAAATTTTATACTTTATATCATAACTAGAATGTAGAAAGATTGCTATCATTTTAGGTCCTTAAACATTAGCTTTTCTAAATTATAGCAAACTCTTAACTCAGGGATTGATTTCCCTTCCTGTGGGTCACCTGGGGTTCTGTTTTTCTTTCATGTGTTCTTTATTTTTTTTAAACTGGTCCATTCATTAGCGTATTCTGCGAGTTAGAAAGCATGAGGCAGAAAGAGAAAATAAATTTATTAGGCATCATTTTTGAAGTTTGAAAGGAAATGTTAAAATGAACGGCACAGCACATTGTAACTACTCAATATCTATGGGTTAAATGAATGAAACAGGAATGTGATACTTTAGTAAGAAAAAATCAGGATTATTATTGCCTGAAATATTTGGTAATTGAGAATAAGCAGAATTATGGTTAAGACACTAAGCTACAAATAGGCATAAACAGATAAGGAAAACCCAGGTTATGCCCCTGAGAAATTACTTCATTTCTCTGAACCTCATCTTTAAAATATAATTATAATATCAAGCTAAAGAATTTCTGTGAGAATTTAATAAAATAATTTATCAAAAGTGCTCAGAAGAATTGAGTGACTGTTAGCTGCTATTGCTGTAATAAAAATCATCAACTTTGCCATAAAAAATGAAGGGAACAGATTTTTAATGTTTAATTCTGATTATCATTGTCATTCAACTTTTTAAACAATTATGAGTATCTTAAGGGTCTGACCCCTCAGATTCTTCAGTCCCCTTCATTGTTTTTCTTGGGATTATGTGTTCCAGGAAAATAACATATTTAAGCTGTGTACTTCTGTTATCAATTCTGAGCCCAAACCTTTGGTTTAAAGTTTTCTAAATTTATTACAATGAATAGATTCATGTTCTACATGTTTACATAATGAATTTTCCTGGACTTGAGGATCTAGTGCTGAAGAACTTTATTAAGGCTGTAATTCTTTTTCTGCCATTGCCCCCTTGGTATAAGGACTCTTTACTGCCGTTTGTCTGATTGGAATGCTCAGGATGCATCTTCACAATTTACATTTTAGTTTCTCACTACCTTTTTTTTTTTTTTTTGGAGACAGGGATCTTGCTATGTTGCCCAGGCTGGTTGCAAACTCCTAGACTCAAGCAATCCTCTTACTTCAGCCTCCTTCATGTATTAGTTTCATAGTATTAGTATGAGTAACTGGGATTACAGGCATGTGCCACCAGTCCCAGCTGTTCTTGCTACTTTAAAAATATTTAGATCTCCCTTATCTCTTTTTGAACTAGTGTCTATAATGCTTTCATTACTCTTGTCTTAAAGGTTGTGTCTTCAGTGCCCTCAAAGCACTTAGAAAAGGAAAATGTGGCTCTTTTATTGTGTTTCACCATATATTTCCCGTTTTCTACATTGTAGAGAATTTGAGGAATATGAATAAACCTTAGGAGGAATAGAATACCTGTGCTCATAATGCCATCGCTGTTAACGTTTTGTTTTATTTCCTTTCAGATTTTGTTTCTAGCTGTGCATTTACTTTTATATAGTTTACATAATCCTATAGAGAACATGCCTTATTTACTGTAATGAAGAACTGAATTTTATACTTTGGTTTATTGTTACTATTTTCCCCTACAGGTGAATTTCCTATCATCAGCCCAGGTCGAGTCTATGAATACACAAGCTGTACCACATTCTCTACAACATCAGGATATATGGAAGGATATTATACGTTCCATTTTCTTTACTTTAAAGACAAGATCTTTAATGTTGCCATTCCCCGATTCCATATGGCATGTCCAACATTCAGGGTTTCTATAGCCCGATTGGTAAGTTAAATTTTCCTCTAGTGCAGGTTTACATGACTTTATAGAATTAATACTGCTAAGGATCTTTATTGATTAGGCAGACAAGTGGTTTATAAATAGTGTTCCAGAAAACCCTAGAGATTTTGAGGATGTGTCTTGTGGGTCACGTGAATATGTTGGGAGAGATGGACAACAGGTAAAGAGGGTTCCCTGCTCTCCAGCCAGAGAAATTCTACTGTTACCTATTTTAAAATTCCGCTTCTTTTCTACTGTTCCCAAAACAGTTTCATGACCTAAATGATTAGAATGAGTTTTATTTCATTAAGACTGGGAAAACAGGCTCGGTGCCTGTAGCTCAACCGGCTAAAGCACCAGCCACATACCCCTAAGGTGGCGGGTTCGAATCCAGCCCGGACCTGCCAAACAAAAATGACGGCTGCAACCAAAAAATAGCCAGACGTTGTGATGGGCGCCTGTGGTCCCAGCTACTTGGGAGGCTGAGGCAGGAGACTCGCTTGAGCCCAGGAGTTGGAGGTTGCTGTGAGCTGTAATGCCACGGCACTCTACCCAGGGGGACAGCTTAAGGCTCTGTCTCAAAAAAGAAAAAAAAAAAAAAAGACTGGGAAAACAGTTTCTTATAGTGTTTTTGCTAAAACTCTCAATTTAATATAAAATAAACTAATATCCTATAGAGATTGTTACAAAGAGAATTTAATGTATATGTATGTACTTTGAGCAGTCTCTGTGAAATCATTTCTCAAGTCAGCCAGGTATACCCTTAAAAGTCTCATTTTTAGGGTTACCTTGTGACAAGTGTAACAGTGATCCTGATTTTAAGGACCATAGAATGGTTGCAAGAAATTATAAAGCCCCAGGAATATGAGAGAAATAAAATATAAATTGTATACTCAGAATGCAATTGAGTTGTAGGCATTGAATGTTAGGAAAAATGCCTCTCAATCCTAAAATGACCCTCTTTGATAGGTCTAAACTAAGTCTGGAAGATGGGCATGATATTAATCTAATCCAGAGTTGACACATTCACTCCAGTTGGGATGGATGATAATAACAAAACTTTAGGCCGATAGTGAAAAAGATCTACAGTCTAGATTTAGAAGTGAAATTTTAGCTTCTTTCCCAGTGGAAAAAGAATGCTAGAAACTATGTATTTCTAGTACTGGCAGTTTGCTACTTCCTATAACAGACTTCCATTTTTGACTAGCCCAGTATCTGCATGAGACTGAAGTAGTCTAACCTTGAAATGTTTGATATTATTCATCAGTGAAGTTACCTGGGGCTAGAGTTCTCTTTGTGGGAAAAATTTTAAATGTGAATTAATTTTGTAATATTCATACTTTCTATTTCTTCTTGTTTCAGTTTTGGTAATTTGTGCCTTTCAAGAAATTTGTCCATTTCATCTAATGTTGAATTTATTGGCATAAAGTTATTGACAGTATTTCCTTGATATCCTTTTAATGGCTACAAGAGCTGTAGTCATATGTCCTCTTTTGTTCTTAATACTGCTAATTTATATCTTTTCTTTTGTTCATTGCTTTAGCTAGGAATACTTTTATTGATCATTTAAAGCAGCGGTCTCAACCCGTGGGTTGCAACCCCTTTGTAACAATGAAAATACATCGCGGCATTAGAAAGGTTGAGAACCACTGATTTAAAGGAATTAGTTTCACTGATTTTTCTTTATTTTTTGCTCATTTTCTATTTCATTGATTTCTGCAATTATCTTTATTTCTCTTCTATTTACTTTGGGTTTGATTTGCTTTTCTTCTAGCTTTTTAAGGTAGAAATTTAGATTATTGATTTTAGACCATTCTTGTCTCTAAGCACTCTATTGGCTACATTTCATAAATTTTGATATAGTAACTTTTTATTAACATTTAGTTCAAAATAGTCTTAGATTTCCCTTGTAATATAATTTTACTCTATGACTTTTCTAGAAATGTATTAATTTCCAAACATTTTGGGGATATTTTGGTTGCTGATGTCTAATTTTATTGTGGTCGAGCATTTGCTCTGTATGTTACAAATTCTTTTAAATGTTTTATGGCCTGGTATTATGATGTGTCTTGGTAATTGATCCTTGTGTATTTGAAAAGAATGTATATTCTGCTATGGGGGGAATATGGTTCTGTGAGTGACAGTTCAAATTGATTGACAGTGTTTTTCAAGTCTTCTGTATATTTATTGTTTTTTTGTTTATTTTGGTCTCTGTACTATTACCTACTGAGAGACAGTTGTTGAAATCTGCAAATATACTTACAGTTTTGTCTGCTTACCTTTTTAGTCTATTATATTTGTTATCTGTTCATTTTGGTCTCTGTACGATTACCTACTGAGAGACAGTTGTTGAAATCTGCAAATATACTTACAGTTTGTCTACTTACCTTTTTAATCTATTATATTTGCTTCATGTATTTTGAAGCTCTATACTTGTATCCAAATATGCTTGGGATTGTTATGTCTTTTTAATGATGCAATTCTTTTGTTTTTATGAAACCTCCCTCTTTATTTCTGGCAAGACTCCTTGTCCTAAAGTTCAAAGCATTGAGGTTTGTTTTGGCAGGTAACTGACTTATTGTTGGGTCCGCTTGATCCTTCTGAGGCTTGTTTTTAATATTTGCTAATAGCGGGTAATGCAGTCATTACTTAAGGATGGTAGTTCCCAACTCTTTAGTCTCTTGACTCCACTAAACACTGAAAACTTATTGAGGACTCCAAGGAACTTTTGCTTATGTGGGTTATATCAATATTTACCATATTAGAAATTGAAACTGAGAAAAGTTTTACAATATTTACTCAAATGACAATAATAAACTCATTACATGTTTAGCCCTCACTAAACCATATTCTTACTTGTTTATAGTTTTCATTTTCTCTTAACCACAAATAAGCATATAAAATCATGACCTGCCTTGTGGAAACTGTTTTAAGGATGCAATATGAATAAAAAAGATGAGAATTCTGGGCTTATTTCTTATCAATGTGGAAAAGGCAATGGGGGTTGTATTTTTTGACTTTTCATGTTAAAATACTAGTTTTTTTTAGTTTTTTTTTTTAATTTTAATTTTAATTTTTATTTATTTTTTCAGTTTTTGGCCAGGGCCGGGTTTGAACCTGCCACTTCCAGCATATGGGGCCGGCGCCCTACTCTTTGAGCCACAGGTGCCACCCAAAATACTAGTTTTCTTGATATGGAACTTGAATTGTTCTTTTTCATTCTCTACCAGTCTAATTAATAAGTAGGTTTTAATACTTCCTTTTTCTTTTTTTTTTTTTTTTAAGAAACAGAGTCTCACTTTGTTGCCCTCAGTAGAGTGCTGTGGCGTCACAGCTTACAGCAACCTCCAGCTCTTGGGCTTAGGTGATTCTCTTGCCTCAGCCTCCCAAGTAGCTGGGACTATAGGTGCCTGCCACAACACCCAGCTATTTTTTTGTTGCAGTTTGGCCGGGGCCAGATTTGAACCCGCCACCCTCGGTAAATGGGGCCGGCACCCTACTCACTGAGCCACAGGCACTGCCCTGGAATGCCACTTTAAAATATACTTTTGGGCTTGGCGCCTATGGCTCAAGTGGCTAAGGCGCCAGCCACATACACCTAAGGTGGCAGGTTCGAATCCAGCCCGGACCCGCCAAACAACAATAATGGCTGCAACCAAAAAGAATAGCCAGGCGTTGTGGCGGGCGCCTGTAGTCCCAGCTACTTGGGAGGCTGAGGCAAGAGACTCGCTTAAGCCCAGGAGTTGGAGGTTGCTGTGAGCTGTGATGCCATGGCACTCTAACCAGGAGGACAGCTTGAGGCTCTGTCTAAAAAAAAAAAAAAAAAATATATATATATATATATATACACACTTTTGGTTGGTCTTATGGTTTTTCTTGGTGTGAGCAGCTTTAGAGGTTCCTGCTGCTAAAGTATTTCCATTCCTGTCATGTGTTCCTCTCTCTCTCTGCTGTGTGTGTATGTACACTTTTTTCTGAAAAATCTCTTTTTCTCTTTAGCTGCATTGATTTAACAGTTTTTCTTTTCTTTTTTTTTTTTTTTTTTTGAGAGGGAGTCTCAAGCTATCCCCCTGGGTAGAGTGCCATGGCCTCACAGCTCACAGCAACCTCCGACTCCTGAGCTCAAGCGAGTCTGCTGCCTCAGCCTCCCAGGTAGCTGGGACTACAGGCGCCCGCCACAACGCCCGGCCATTTTTTGGTTGCAGCCATCATTGTTTGGCGGGCCCGGGCTGGGGATTTGAACCCGCCACCTTAGGTGTATGTGGCTGGCGCCTTAGCCGATTGAGCCACAGGCGCCGAGCCAACAGTTTTTCTTTATTCTTCTTCATTAAGATAATTAGTAATCACACCACCTGAATATCATGTTTTAGGATTTCCTAAGTCTTCCCCTTTGCCACCTTTTGGACCTCCTCCTGAATTTTCAAGTCTTTATTCCTTAAACTAAACAAATATATCCAAAGATAAAAAGAATGTATTATCTTCTATCACATTGATGTGTATTTTCCGATTGTTACTGTTGTTGTTTGTGTTATAATAAATCCTAAATGTCACAATCCCTTTCTCCTACATTAATTCGTTTGTTTGATCAACAAATGTTGAGTACTGTAGTAAACAAAAAATCAAAATCTCTGTCTTGGAATTTACATTCTAGCTGAAAGAAACAAACTGTAATAAATAAAAACTATGAATTTATGTCAAACAGTGACAGGTGTTAAGGAGAAAAATCAGAGTAAAGGGGATAAGGAGCATCCTGTTGGGTCATTCAAATACAGAGATGTATCAGGAAAGGGCTTGATGGCATTTAAGCTAAGACAGAATGGAGAAGAGCGAGTCAGGTGGATATGTGGGAGAAGAACGTGCTAGGCAAGGAAGCAGCACGTGTGGAGGCCCTGATGCAAAATTGTGCTTACTGTGTTTGAACCAAGGAGGACAATGTAGCCAGAGTGCAGTGAACAAGGAGAGTGGTTGGAGATGAGAATAGAGGGGTGGTGTCGTGCTGGATCATGTAATGCCATAAAAGTCTCAGTGCAAGGACTTTTGCTGGTGCATGTCTCACATTTCCCCACACTCCCACATTACCACCTACGTCCTCCTTGCTGTTCAGAATTTTGTCCAATATACTAATTCCTCTCATTGAGTCTTCATTTGTGTGAGAGAGAACACTGATAGCAGAGTAAGTCAAGACTTCATTACAGACACTCCTTAAGTAGAATTGATGTTTCCAAGAGATGTTCAGATACTACACATTCAACATCACTGTTGTCATATTCTGAAAGCCTCCAACAAGTTAATTTAAAAGTAGAGCCCATCTTCCCTACAGTATGGGCTGATCTTAGTGATGTGCTTCTGATGAATTGGCAAGGTGACACTGTGACTTCTGAGTTGGAAGGTGATATGCCATCAATCTGGAGTTCTTTCTCTCTTGGGACATATGTCTTTGATACCCTAAGCCACCATGTAAAGAAGTCCAGCTACCATGAAGCCACCATGCTGAAGAGACCTTGTAGAGATACCATAGAGATAGAGGGAGGTGCCAAGGTGCCCTAGGGGTTTCCATCTCCAGATGTTTGGATCATCCCAGCCTGAGTACCAGATACATGAATGCAGAAGCCTTTGAGATGACTCTAATCCTGCTACCAGCTGACTGCAGCATCATGAAAGAAGACCTAAGCCAGAACCACCCTATCAAGTATTCCCAAATATCCAGCTCACGTGACCCATGAGAAATAATAAATGGCGATTGTTGATAAAAAATAAAAAAAAATTTTAAAGTAGAGGCTACTGATGATTGAATTCAAATGATGTGTCTTGATTCTAAGATGTCAATAAAAATCTTTTAGACCTTTTGGTGACAGTGCCTAAAAGTTACCAGTAGAGGTCATACTTGGTTAATATTTCACATCTTTCTGTGTATATGTAGATAACTATTATTTAATACATTAATATGATAAGTTCAGTAAAACTTTATCTTGGATTGTTAGTAGTGGTCTGTTTACTACCTTGTATGAATTACTAACTACTATGTAAAAAATAAATGTTGCCTTAATTAAATGTTTACCATTAAAACCATATTGAGCCAGGTACCATGGTGTGTGCCTATAGCCCCATTTACTCAGGAGGCTGAAGGCAGGAGGATTGCTTGCTCTCAGGAGTTAGAGGCCAACCTGGGTAACATAGCAAGACTCATCTCTAAATAAATAAATGAATGAACAAATTAATGAAAAGAAAATCTTTCATTTAAAACAACAAAACTATCTTGAGCATTATCTAACATGGGATACAAAATATACTCCAGAATCTTGCATCAGCATGTTCATGATGAAAATAAACTGTAGAAATCTATGACAAACTCCTATATGCCATGTCTGGTTTGGATTCTAGATAAATGGGAATTTACATTAAATAACTATAAAAAAATTGATAGACGCTCTTCTTATCAAAAGATTGTTTTCTCTTTCAAGGAAATGGGTCCTGATGAATACGAAGAGATGGAAGAAGAAGAAGAGGAAGAGGAGGAAGATGATGATTCTGCAGATATGGATGAATCAGATGAAGATGATGAGGAAGAAAGACGGAGAAGAGTCTTCGATGTTCCCATTCGCAGACGCCGCTGCTCACGCCTTTTTTAGCAAGACTTCAGCTAATGAAAGCGCTGGGATGATCGTAGTCTGTTACATGGATTTCTCAATAATGTAAATAATTGTTCTCAACATATAGTAGGAAAAGTAGCATGAAATACTGTTCCAGGCTCTGGGTTCTATGTGACGTTACATTAGAAATTGGATTGTTTTGGTTTGCTTTGTGTTTTTGAGGTAGGGGAGGAAAGAGAATTTTTTTTTTCTCTGCAAGGAGTTAATGGAGGAATAATTCTCTAGCTAAGGAATAGACATTTCTTTGTTTTAAAATATTTTATACCTATAAAAATATAGAAATACAGAGGGAATTGTTTTGAATAAGGATTTAAAGTGTAGCAAAAATACCTACACAAGGATAGAAACGATGCGACTGATTCTGTGAAAATACTTTTTGCAGTTCTAAGTTATTTGGAAATGAACAAAATTTGTAATTAGGCTGATGTATTTAGTGATTACTAATATTTTGTACTCACAGGGAACTAATTGACTAAACAACTTGAATGCTAGTGGTTTGACCTTTCTTAGACAATCTGTCCTTGAATTTAAAGTGTTTTATCACTAAGACCTTGAATTTAAATTTTTTGTCACTATAGCTTTGAATTTAATTTAAATCTTCAACTCTATGACCTTTATTATATTATTCACAGATGTATCATTTTTGAAATGTAGTATGTAAAAGTATGTAGTGTGTTTAACAAAAGTTTCTTCACTGGTCTCATGTAGTCTAAATTTGTAAATACGGCATCTGTTTTGTTTCTTTATATACTCAAATGTGTGTGATAAGTGACATGAATTTTATGTTAAGATTAAGTATGTTTTCCTGAAACATGAGGTTTTTTGTAATTATAGAATTGAGATTTAAGAATGAAATCCTTCAAGTGTTAAAAACTCCCATTTTAAAAGCAAATTTTGGTTCTGATCCTGTATTTTGTGTAAGTGCCCATTTTCCATACACTAATATTAATCACCCTTTGCTCTTAAGATGAAAGTTGGGATTGACTATTGTTGGCCTGCTGCCAGAATATAGCAGTCTCATTCAAAGTCATCTCTTGGTTTTGTACCCCCTTGTGTATTGCCCAAGACCAGAGCCTGAGAGCAGCTGTAACCTGACAGCCAGGCTAAGTGGGTGCTGGGGGCATGAGGAAACCTTCCTACAGAAAGCTGCAGGAAAACTGGGCAGGATTCAGGGTTAAGCAGCTGCCTTCGGGAACCATGAAGGCAAACATACATCTTCATATGTACATGTCAAAACGTTCTGAAATAGACTAAATCAGTTTTTTTTTCTTTTTCATGTAATAAGAGTACTATCGGGCTACCAAATCCTTCTATTATGGTCATTTTTTAAATCAGCTGTTTTTGTTTAGATTGCTATAACAAAATACCTTAGACTGAGTAATGTATAAACAGTACACATTTATTTCTCTGAGTTCTGGAGGCTGGGAAGTCCAAGATAAGTTGCCAGCAGACTAGGTGTCTGGTGAGGGGCTGCTCTCTGCTTCGAAGATGGTGTGTGTGGTCATGCTGTGTCCTAGAAGTACCAAACAAGCTCCCCTCAGGACCTACTCACCTAAATAAAAGTCCCACCTCTTAATACTTTATTTTAGGCATTAGGTTTCAGTATGTGAACTTGGGGGGGAACACATGCAGACACATAGAATCAATCCATTTATTCTAAAAAAAAAAAGAAAAAAAGAACTTTCCCAATAAAGCAGTAATTAAAGGTGGCCCCAGGATCCCTTGCCACTCTTTGCATCTTTCTCTTCTGGATTCTCCTGTCTCCGTTTCAAGTACTCATGATGCCCAGGATCCCCCTACAACACTGTCCAACTTGTATGTCACACAGTGTGTCAATTAGCTTATCCTGTCATCAAAATTTACATTCTTTAGTATGTTTAATGAACTCTGGTTCATACCAACATGGGATTTATTGATAACAGCCATCTGTGTTTGCTTTCATGAGACTTTATCCACATGTAAAAGGAATTAAACAGTTGGCATTAATATTGCCCAACCCAGGCTATACTTTTGGTGGAATAAATGCCATTTCTGTCTCTGGAAAATACCACTCATATATATATAGATATATACATATATATATATATTTTTTTTTTGAGACAGTCTCACTATGTCACCCTCGGTAGAGTGCCTTGGCATCACAGCTCACAGCAACCTCAAATCCTTGGATTTAAGCGGTTCTCTTGCCTTAGCCTTCCAAGTAGCTGGAACTACAAGTGCTCACCATAACGCCCAGCTATTATTTTGTAGTTGTCGTTTGGGAGGCCTGGGCTGGGTTCAAACCTGTCAGCTCCAGTGTACGTGGCTGGTACCCTAGCTGCTGAGCTACGGGCACCGATCCACCACCACCTATATTTTTATTCCTTTGTCTAGGTTTTGATGTATCACTAGGATCACACATACCTCAGTCATTAGTAGCTTAAATAGTTGAGGGGCTATTCTTTTGAGAAAAGCCAGATAACTAGTTCAGGGCTGACATAATGGCACGGTAATGTCAATGGTACAGATTTATCCCATCTCTCTGTTCTGCCGTCCTTAGCATAAGACTTCCTCTTGAAGGTCATCTCATGGTTGCAAGATGGCAGCCACAGTCATGCTGTATTCAAGAAAGGGTTATGAGAAAAGAGCAAAATGATGTGGAAAATAAAAAGTGAGACATGAGGCTGAAGAGATAAACTAGCTGGGTCTCTGGAAGTCGCGTGGAAGATAAGTAGCAAAGGGGCAGCATAGGGAGCTGGTATGAAGGTGAAGACAGATTGGCCCCAATCAGGTCAGTAGCACCGTGAAAAGACGACGATCTAAGTAAGTGGGAAGGAGTAGATACAAGGGAATAAAAAGAATCAGAGTTGATTCCCAGGTTTCTGTCTTCATTTATAAAAATGTTTAAAAACTGCAGGAAAAGTAGTTGATTAGTGGAAATGAGTTCAGATTTGACACTGCCCGACCGGCAGGCGGTGTCGGGGAGTTCGTGATCGGCTATGAGAGGGAGAAGGAAAGGGAAAGGGTGGACACAATCACACAACCACTCATACAGTATAGGGAGAAGGCTGAGCCGAAGCTGTTTATTTGGGATCGGTACAATCTTATATAGGGTTAGTACAGGGGGAGTGGTTATGCTGTTCTGACGGGAGGGGCCCTGCGCTGTGCTCTGCGTTTCTGTCTCAGTCTTATACAATGTAGCTACTTCTATCCTGTTTACTTACCAGCACTGGTCTCTTTATTTGGCCTTTTCACGTGGGGGTTGCATTAGGCTAGCACTTCCTCTTACGATGTAGTTTAATATTTCTGTTAACCCTTACATCTCCTCCCTTTTTATTTTTTAAAGATAAGAGAGTCTCTGTCTTAGGTCAGGGACCTGGGGACAAGTTGCCCGTCATTGGCTACCTCCCCTTACCTGCTCTGGGGAGTGCCTGTCTTAGGTCGTGTCCTCCTCAGTATTCCCAGTTGCCCGTCATGGAGAGCTCTCTTTATAACTGGTGTACTATAGACATCCAAACTTCATCAGCGGGATTATGGAGTGCTTGGGCTAAAAGAATTTGATGTTTTTGTGTGGTCACCACACGGTTCCAGAGAACTCGGAGGAAGGTGAGGCCGACAAGGCCTATGAGGAGGAACACCGCGACGGTGCCTCCCCATGATCTGATGAGAGACCAGAAGCTAGTAAGACCTTGGAGAAATGTGTCTCCTATAATAGCTCCAACTAATTTGGATAGTGTGTAATAGGCTGCAGGTATAGTTATCAAAAGCGGGGGACCATCCTTCTTTTATATAGTTATTTAGGGTTCTGATTGCTTCTGAGGCATTTTTTACTTTCCACGGTGTTACACATATGCTATTGAAAGGAGGAAGGCAGGAGACTCCCTGGAGGTTCCAGAGGAGATCTACCTGCTCTTGTAATAAAAAGGTTTGTTGATTTAAGTTTAGTATGGCTAATCGGAGATATGTGTTGATTTGTTGTTGTGTATCTAAGGCCTGAGCTGTTAAAGCACTAAGGTTATTGAGGGTATGGGCTGTTTGAACCGACGTGGAAATGGCGATCCCAGCGGCCAGGGCAGAAGCTGCTAGTGCTGCGATGATGGCGACGGCTGCTGCAACAATACCAAAGTCTCTTTTCTGTCGGGACAAACTTATTGGAAAGTTAGAAGTTCTGTTGACAGGCATAGGAAGATATGTTGGGATTCGGACTATGAGCATCGAGTCAGAGTGTG